AGGTAAATTTAAAATAAATAAAATGCAGATCAGAAAAATTTATGCGACGTTAGAAAAAATATTTCATGAAAAGCGACTGCGGCCGAGACATTTTTACACTTAAATAGATAACTTTTAAACTAATAAAGTTATTGCAATGAAATTTTCAATACAAATAGATAATTTCCATCTAAAAGTAAGGTAAATTTAAAATAAATAAAATGCAGATCAGAAAAATTTATGCGACGTTATGCTATACAAAATTAAAAAACATTTTATCTATAAAAGTTATTAAATTAATCTCTATCTCTCATCGACATTATTGTACCGGTACATTTAAATACAAACATAAAAACATCCAATGCAATATAGCTATCCACAGTAATGGATAGTGTCCTTGTCCACAGATGGTATCCTTGTCCAGCTGAAAGTATACAAAATATTTAAAAATTAAATTTTAAAATTAGTGAACTGAAAATTGAAATAATTTCAATCAAAATATAAATTAACAAAATGAAAATCTCACATAAGAACATTAGAAACTAAAATTGACAATATTATTTCTTCATGATCTATGTTAAATAATATCAACTTACAAAATAATTTAACAGTGGTCTTAACATATCCTAAAGACAGAGCAATAACTGTCTCAAAAGATAATGGACATCAGGGGTGCCACTCACTGAAAGCTGTGAACCCTGAAATCCCTTTCTAAAAATTTCTTGAAACCTGAAACTTCATTTACAAATTTTTCAATCCCTGAAACTTAATGAAACTCAAAATTCCTGATTATCGCAATGCGGCATTTTGTTGATTAATATAAAAACAAGCATGAAATTATCAAATAAAACATTGAGATACATCACAAATGAACAAAATTAAGCAATTAAGGTGTATACATGTAAACATTTATTAGTATTTATTAAATTTACAGCAATAGCAATTTTTCAATTTACTTAGACTTGAAAAGTCAACTTTTGCAATGAGTTATCTGGGCATTTTAGAACAAAAGTATAGCTACCACAAGTGGAAAGTATCTTTTCATATATGGAGTTAATGTTGTCTTCTTTATGATGAAAATGGATAGTTTGAATCAACACACTTTAGTGTCTATACTATCTCCCTTTCATTTACAAATTTTTCAATCCCTGAAACTTAATGAAACTCAAAATTCCTGATTATCGCAATGCGGCATTTTGTTGATTAATATAAAAACAAGCATGAAATTATCAAATAAAACATTGAGATACATCACAAATGAACAAAATTAAGCAATTAAGGTGTATACATGTAAACATTTATTAGTATTTATTAAATTTACAGCAATAGCAATTTTTCAATTTACTTAGACTTGAAAAGTCAACTTTTGCAATGAGTTATCTGGGCATTTTAGAACAAAAGTATAGCTACCACAAGTGGAAAGTATCTTTTCATATATGGAGTTAATGTTGTCTTCTTTATGATGAAAATGGATAGTTTGAATCAACACACTTTAGTGTCTATACTATCTCCCAAGTGTGAGAGTTTCATAGTTTGACACATAAATTTCATAAATTGAGAAGTTACAAAAGTGGACACCTAAGATGGGTGATAAAGCTGGTATCATCAGATGATTGACTCAGACATTTTCCCCTTGAATACTTGATATCAATATTTCCAGCATAGTATTCATTGATGACTTATTCAATCATGATTGCCTATTGCTGTACTGGTACTGTAATGCCTATCAGTTCTTTAAAGTTAAAGGAACTGTTAACTGTTGGGCATTACATATTTTTATTGAGCTTAGATCCTGAATATTGAAACAAAATAAAATATATTATCATATTAGATTTATAGTTTATAGTAAGGCATACATTTAATATCGACTATATTATACCAGTATTTAACTACGGCACTACTGCTAGTAGCAGTGCTACGGTAATACAGAGCATTATGAATACTAGTAATTTTACTAGTAATAGTAGTAGTAGTAGTAGAATTACAAATTACTGTAAAGTATACCCAGAGTCAGAACACGGGAGTGCATAACTAATAAATAAAAACTAACTAAATAGTTATGTCAGGCTCACTACAGAACGGATAAAAATAACATAATCATATTCGCCTATTTAAAATTAGAAGGCTTACTCCGTAATTAAATGTCAAGTGAACTTAAGAAGTATTTAAACAAAAGTTAAACGCCGCCTAGCTCTTCTAATAAAAAAAATACAAGTCGCCTGTATACAGTAAAGCTACATAACAAAGTACGCTAAGCTTAGTCTTGTTAGACAACGCTCGGACGATTAGTTTTCTTTTTATGATAATGGTTACCCAACAATTAAAAACTAGGTAGCCAAAAACTAAATTAAAAAGATATTTACTAAATTTTACACTTTGCTTACCCAAACACTTCAAATATCTCTTGATCGGCGACGTGAACAGAAAATAAATATTTCTGGTCTATCGAAGTAGTACGGTACTCGAAACGCGTAGTGTAAAGCGCATGCGCAAGGGGAAACCACTAGCTCTCTGGCAACAGAAAGGCTAAAAATAGACGAGATCGGCGATTAACGTCCAGTTTCAAGGAATTTTCCTGGTTTTTCGCGAATTCTGTTGCATGTTGTTTCTTAAAAAAAAGAACCCAGACAGAATCCGTATTTGAATAAATTGAACTGGCGAACCCGGAAAGAGAGAATATAAAAACTCGCGAATCCGGAACTGAAAAATATTTAGCCTCACGAATCCGGAATTCCGGGATGACCCGGAAAAGTGGCACCCCTGATGGACATGGTTCGTGGCTCCGGAGTTCTAGCAACAGTGGCAACACTTCATCTCATCGATATGTAGATTAAAAACATCATCATTGTCAACATCAAATTGGGTTGTTTATTGATCTCCTTCAGATTGCAATGCATGTCCCACGTGGAATCTATAGTAAAAACAAAGGAAAATGCTCAAGACAGACACAAGTATAAGCTAATGACATTGCAAATATAAATTGTTTTTTAAACAAAAATCACTTTAATGAGACAAAATAAATTAAAGGAATGTCCCCGTGTTAAATATATTTAATTAGGTAGTATGAATGTAGGTATAGTCTTAGTTTATCTAATAATAAAAGAATAATAACTAGGGTGGACTGACAAAAAAAAGATTGTTTGCAATCAAATCACACAAATAAAAGAAATTTCCCTAGTATTAAAATGTATTTATTTCATTAATTTAATTCAACTATGAATATAAGTCTAAAAATACACCCTTATAACTAATACTAGTAGTATTAGTTTATCTAATAATTATTAATAGCTAATAAATACATTGTTGTTGTTGAAGAGGAGTTCATATTTGCAAATTGATCAATTTCTTGTTTAATATAGAATAATTGTACAAACTAAAAAAAAATTTAAAAAAAATATTTTCTTGAATACATTTATATTGTTTATTCATATTAGAATCAAAAATTTTTGTTTAATCAGATGTTTCAATGACTTAGTAATGTTTTATTTAAAGCGTTTATTTCCAAATAATTTCACCTCCCTCCGGTCAATAAAATTATGTAAAAAAAAGATGGCCGCCGTTTTTTCATAACATGTGGATTTTTTTTTTTCGAACGATATCTTAAATTCCTGAAATAGCCAGTAACGTTAACAATAAATGATTTCGAAGTAAAAGTGATCAAGCTTGCATTATGTTAAGGTTTTAACTTTTTACTGGCTATAACAAAAATAACCGATCGACATGTTTACACTTACCCAAGTTTACGCTCCAACTGTTCGTCTGAAACAGGTCAGAATGACTCAGCATTTATATCACCGTGACCGGAATTCTTCAGCAAATAAAGTTTAAGACTGAAACTTATTTATTTTTAGAAAATGACGCATAGGAACAAAAAAGCCCGACATATACCGAAACCCACCCTTCACGGCTGGTCACAGAAATGTACCACGCAAAGCCGGCGGGTTTTTTTGCCCGCGTAGTCCAGAATTGGAGTGCCTATGGTACATAAATCCACGTACATATGAAGGGGAAAGATCACCGGCGCTTCTTGTGCCAAACTGTCTTTTTAGTTTACGCTTTCCGAGCATTCACGCTTTCCACATTCTGTGTGTGGACATCCGCGCTATCTGGATCAAAAAAATAATTGTAGTCTCTTTTTCTTCCTCCTGGCATATCGGTAGCTTGGCAGTAATAATTATTTAAATGTATTAGTATTGTGCTATATAACTTTATAGCCTCTATACGGAAGCAAAAATATTAACAGACTCCAATGTAAGAATAGTTGTTTAAATAGCCCTTCCAACCGGTACAACTGGATTTTTTCTTGGCCTACGCTCAAGTGGTAGATTACCAAGTTGAGATAAAGAAAAAATTAACTCAATGGGAATGTAGTTCAACATTTATCCTAACGTTAATGGGCGGAGTCAAACCTTAATTATGGGCCAAAATGACTCCTAAATTATTCAAATTACATGCACATGAAAAAATTAAAAACTCGGATCCTACTACGCCGATGGCCATTTCCGATACAAATTTACTAGGAGTGTCCCTTGCTTCAGCGAAGCATCTAACAAGAGACAAGAAGAACATTGAAACTTGTGGGTTGTAGTTACAGGCAGTTAAGTAGGAATATTTATATCAGTTGCGTTACATATATTAATCAAATACCTAACATGCGAACACATTAAATAGTTGGTATACCTAAACAATTTAGGTCTTGGAACAATGAAGTTCACAGTCATTATACTATTATTAGTTCACTAAAATTAAGTTTTTAGAAGAGTAAACATTTCACTAGTAGACATTTAACTTCCGGAAAACTAAAAAAGTACAATTTTTAAAATTAAAAAAAAATAAAATAAACTAGCTGTATCCTATTTAGATTAAAAAAAAACACATAAATTAAAATAATTAAAATTTTAAATTAAAATAAATAACCGATTTTTTAACTGCATGAAATAAGGTATCATATTTGATCATGTGTTTGTTTATGATTAGATTCTAAAGCCATGTTTTTTAAAGCTCGTCTTAGGTTTTAACCAATGGGAAAAGCTCATAGGCCTTATGTTTTTGTTTATGGAGCAACGAACTTTATCACGTCTCCTACTTACACTGTCACACCCGAAGTAAAAAAAAAAAAGAAGAAGAAAACCGTGTATGAACAGATCATAGGCATGACTGGTTCTTCCTTAAATCTGCCGCAATTGGCCAGGGAAGCCTCAATATCGGTAGTAGTCTCTGAAAATGATGACGCACAAATGTTAACTCAAATTGCTAGTGAATCAGACACTGTCACTGTAACTACAAATGGAGAGGTTAAAGATAGCGATTTCGAAAGTCACAATGCAAGTGTACAAAATAATATCATTAAGCGCGAAGGAAGTGATGTATTTGATTCAGACTCCAATATTCTCACACAATGGATATATAAAAATAATTTAGATCGTGTCATAAAGTAAGTTAAAATTTTGTAAATAAAATAAATTAACAAGGCGGAGTCCTAGACCTAAAACTAAATGCCCTATGAATAATTCAAACTCAGCTAATATTATAATTGAAATTATATGACTTAATTTTTTTTATCTTGTCTTGCACATTGGTGGATGGTTGGTCAGAAACTTACCCATGCCCATGGCATGGCCCATGGTCCATGGTTGGGTGCATTTTTAATTTTAACTCAGAAATTTGATTAATTATATTATTTTGGGGGGGAATAAGTATCTCAGTAATTGATCGATTATGTCTAAACTAAGTTGATATTTTTCATTTTAATGTAAGGTTCCAAACTTTGTTACCAATTGCCAAAAGCTCACTTAATATTAATAACAAAAATAAACATGAAATGTGGGCTATTTATAAAAAAAATAATAGCCAAGGCTGGGTGCAAAAGGAGGAGGGTTGGCTTGAGGCCAGCTACCTCACTCATAAAAACCAATTGCTACAGAAATGCCAACAAGAAAAAAACAAGAAATTTCAGCCCTGAGAAAAGAGGGCTCTTCTTCTCCAAAAAAGAGCTATGAAGCCTTGCGATCAAACCAAGGCTATACTGGAAGCCGAAGACCCTCCTTTAAACAAACATAGACACGTGGAACATCAGAACCATGTACAAAATAGGGAAAGCAGCACAGGTGGAGCAGTAATGAGAACTTACAAACTCACACTGCTTTGCATCTGTGATATAAATTGTGTTCTTGTGGACGGCCTATGCCCCAGACAGTGTAAAAAGCCATAAGAAGAAGAAGAGATATTTTTAAAAAAATACTAGGCTTAATGACATAATGGTGTAAATAATTACTGAGTATAAATAAAAACTGTTGTTAATTGCTCTATAATAATTTCACAATCAAATGAAAAGGATGATAATTATTTAGTAAATCATAAATATTTATTAATTATAATTTAAAGTAGAATACTTGTATGCCACTTAACTATCATAAAACTGACCTATTACTTTTTTTGCAGATGTTTCGAAAGTGAGTCTGATCCACTAAGAGCAGAAGCTTTGATTGCTGTAAACAGCAGAGATGACTTTGGCAAGACACCGTTAGATGTTGTGGCATGTCTAGGCCAAACAGATGTAGTTAGACTTCTAATTGAGAAAGGTGGTGCTGATGTCAACAGCTGCAATTCCAAAGGTAAGCTTTTTTTAGCTGATTAAGTCATACTTTATTCTTTTTAAAACATCATTCTATAGAGTTGTGGATATGGATATATCATTTATCTGTTAATTGAAGTGCAAATAAGGGCAGTCTTGGGTTCTCAGGTGATGGTAAATGTTTATGTGGCTCACAGTTATGTAGAGAGCTTCTATGAAAACTGCTAGATACATTTTACTTCATATCACCACTTTTCCCAATTCATTGCTTGCATATTCTACTATAATGCGTTGTTAGCATTCATTGGCAGCATCTGGTGGTTGCATCTGCTCTTAGCATTCATTGGTATCAAACAATGTTAGTATTCATTGATAGCTCCAAACTATCTTTTCATCTATCTTCTTATGCTTTCAAGCTTTTGCAAAACATTATCACTGGGAATATCAACTATAAAATTTGAGCTTGTACTAAGATTTTTTGTGTGTCTATGTGTCAGAGCACTTCCAAGTTTGCTGAATCCTCTACCTTTGGTAGTTGAAAGTTTTTACTCTGAGTTTAACTCCTCCCAAAGTATAGCTGATAAGTCCATGTCATCCAGATTTTTGCTCTTAGCTGGATCAGCCCCAAGAGGATTAGACCCTGGTATCTCTTGGTTGTTAGGCAGACATGAAACAATAGGTCACAAAAAAAGGACCCTAGTCCAACTTTCAACGACCTGGTCTAATCCCTCAATAATATGGACTAATCTCTCACTAGCCTGGACTAATTTCCACATAATTTGGTTTTATCTCTCAATAACCTAAACTTATCTTCACATAACCTGGTATAATATCTCAAAAGCATGGTCTAATGTCTCAATAGCCAGGACTAATCTCCACATAATTTGGTATAATTTCTCAATAACCTGAACTTATCTCCACTTACTCTAGTCTAATCTCTCAATAACCTAGACTAATCTCAATAACCTGGACTAATTTCCACACAATTTGGTATAATCTCTCAAATAACCTGAACTAATCTCCCTATAACCTGGGCTAATCTCCCCATGGACTGGTCTAATATCTTAATAACCTGGACTAATCTCCACATAATGTAGTCTAATATCCACATAGCATAATCTAATCTCCCCATTGCAAGGTCTATTGTCTCAAAATTAACATTAGCTAATCTCTCTATAACCTGGCGCTATTCTACCCCCAAAGCACTGGCATAGATGCTACAAACTCTTCGACCACAGGAGGTCTCAGATTTTTAAGGGGCCCAAAGTCATGATGGGGAACATAATTAATAGACAGTATATTATATTGCATTGATGAATTGTTAAATGACAAAAAATGGAAAAGTGTGTGAGGGCAAAAGCTTGGCTTCCCCGCCGTGGCAAGGTATATAATTTTTATATTAACTTATGTTCCTGTCACCATAACCTGTTCTAATCTCCCCATCACATAGTTTAGTCTCTCCATAGCCTGGTCTAGTATCCCCATAAACTGACATGTGTTCGTCACAATGTGATCAAGGTTTAGACTTTGCAGGATAAAATTACATGGGCTGGGATTTTTCGTTTGGAGGATAACCTGGTTACCTAAATGACAAATTGTATCACTCGATGCACCAAGAGAACATCGTATGTGGATGATACATCTTGGCACCATTAGCAACACAGGAACCGCCTACAAAATATTCATTTTGTCAGTGTTATCCAAATAAGGGACTCTATCTTTTGGTTTGTATTCAGGATTCAGAATTCTCTGAGATGGGTAGCCGTCCAAGTTTAATGAGTCCCATCCACCCAAGGTGCTGGGGATGTTTTTGCTTGTCTGGCTTTGGTGGGGATTGAACACCAGACTACTAGTTATTTGGATGAATCAGTTTGGACTGCTCAGCCACCCAGCACCCCATATCCACACAACCTGGTCTAGTATCCCCATAATCTGGTCTAGTATCCACATAATCTGGTCTAGTATCCACATAATATCATCTAGTATCCATATAATCTGGTCTAATCCCACAACATCCCCCCCCCACACACACACACACAAAGTATTTTTTTTTAATTCAAAGGTTTCGTTTTTCCACTACATATTCTAAAATAATAATACCCATTACAGATTCTGACTCTCAAGAGTCTTGTCTCTGTCACATCATCATGGCTTATACCTTTTTTTCCCCCTCATACTTCTCTCCAAACCTTTAATGTTTTTGTTGTTTTTTTAAAAATAAAATGTCATAAATATTTCCATCTCTTGGTCAATAACATAATTATTAAGTTATATTACATTTTTAAACTAACAATTGAATTATAGATTTTATACATGAAGTGCCATTAAACAAATTTTTTTCCTGTGTAAATTTTTTTGGGAAATGACATATGTGTTTATGATAGAGCTCCTGCCAAAAATTGTGCTTATTTGTATCGGTCAATTATCTTTTTTTTAATAGATTGTTCAATGTTTTGCCATGTTTCCATGTAAGTTTGTGTCTGTTTGTTTCAAAAATAAGTCCCATAAATCCTAATACTATCCCTTTTTACTATTCCTAAATCCATCCATCCCTGTGGTACTACAGCCTGTGTAGGACTTTGTCCTGTCTCACCACTTCCTTCCACAATGATCTAACTGATGCTATTTTTTCCATGCTTGGGTTCCTAGCTGCTGCTCTCTTTTTCCACATCATCCATCCGTCCAGGTCTGCCTTTGAGCTGTGTTCATGTTGGACAGTGATGTTTTGATGTCTGTTAATGTAATTTTTTTTTCCACGTCTTGTTTTTGATTTTCTTGTCGTTTTTGTGCAAATGGTGTGTAATTATCTTGTATATTTGAATAATTTTTTTTTCTTTTTCAAAACGCTGCACATAGTATCTTTTAAATGTGTTTATTATCTTTGGAGTATCAGTGTGTGTTTCCCTTTCTGTATCTATGATTTGTCCTATATGTCTGCTTTTTCATGTGTTTTGTTCTATTTTTAAAAATTGCTTTGTAGGTGCTTCTGTGTTGTTTGTGATAATTATACTTCTAACCTATGCACCATTTTATTTATGTTTTTGGATTGTTTCTAGTTCTTCTTCTCATTCTTGAATGGTGTGGTGAAGTGGATTGTTTGATTTTTCTGTTGGTATGAGTACCAGTATTCTAATTCCTTTTCCTTTTCTCTGATTATTTTCTGTGTAAGTGGGTTGCAATTTTTTGTGTGACATGTTTGATTGTAGAATTTAAAGTTCCCAGTTTTGCCCTTATGTTTGTTGATGTTAGTGTTATATATATATATATATATATTGCTAAATTCAGTTATTAATAATTTCTGTGTACTGATTGGGTTCTAAAAGTGCATTGTTGAATTTCAAATGAGGGCATTTTTTTAAAATGATGTGTTTTTTTTTTTTAAATTTTAATTTTTACCCCTTTGTGATCTTTAAAGATTAATAATTATTGAATGTGTTTAGCTTCATTGATTGTGTCTATTTTGGTATGTAAATTGATCAAGTCATCAAGTCTTGATTAGTTAATTTGGTGTTAAAAGTTTTGCTTGTAAATATTGTTTCTTTCCCTCCCTTGTGTAGTGTTCTGTATGCGTCTACTATGGTATAAGTCTCTTTTATGTATTGTATTTTATGTTCATATCCTTTCTTCTAAAATTATATATTTCCTTTTTTGGTTTGTTGTGTCTAAACTTACATGGCCTAGTCTCCAGAGTGAATCCATTATTTTCTGGGATCACCTGGTATTGTTAACTTATTCTTTGATTTTAGGTTTTTAAATGAATAAATTATTGGATAAATATGCTTTGGGACAATTTGAAACACATTCACCTAGAATTTAAATAAATGCAGGTTATACAGCTCTTCATTTTGCTGCTGCCTGGGGAAGAATTTCAGTTTTGAAGGTTCTTGTGGAGAAGGGAGGTAATCTTCAGCTTATAAATGTCTTTAATGAACGTCCAAGGGAGACAGCTCTGCGGTATAATCAAGTGGAATGTGTGGAATTCATTGATTTGTCCGGTTTGTAACCCCACATTTATTTGTCTTTATTATTTTAACTAAAGAGTTACAGACATTTATCAAAACTGTTGATGCCAAGAACGCAGTCAGTTGTTAGCAAAGTTTTTTCTACTTCCTTTCTAGCTTAAAAAAAAAAAGTAGCTTTCCTTTTTTATGCTATGTTTTTTTGCAAGGAGAAAAACATTCAATTTAATAATCAAATTTTGATTTTGATTTAAAACAATTATTATACACTTTTAATTAATCAACAGAAGCAAAAATTTTATTACAAGAAGCAATAGCTGTGGCTGAAGATGCTATTTACGATCCTGTTGACAAAACTGCTCTGAGCAGACTGACCAGAGAAGAAAAGGTAACCCCAGAGGCAGGATTATTTAAATTGTGTCACTTAACTGAGTATCTCAAACATGTTTTTAGCAGTGAAAAGAAAACATAATAAGATAAAATATTTTTTCTCAATTTATATGACCGGATAACATACTCAAAATAAATATTGGATTTATGTCTTATTTAATTCAATTATTGAATTAATGATTCCCATTTGATATAATCACTGCACTTTTAAAGTTTCATGTAATGTAATCATTGAATGTAATAAGTCTCATCATTAAATTGATAAGTTTCAGAATAAGATTAAACGTTTTTCTTCAAGAAATCTTGTTACTTGTCATGGCAATTAGCAGATTAATGTTGTCATTTAACACAGCTAAATCTTGTCATTTAACACAGCTAAATCTTGTCACTTTATTGTCCCAATTATCCTGCAGTATACTGTAGTGAATGCTTGTAAAGAAAAACAAGAGTGGTTGGAAAACAACAAGCAGGCCGTTGTCCGTGACTATGTAGCCCAACGCTTGTCTCTCTGTGAAACTGTCAACCCCATTCTCAACAAAATTGCAGAATCAAGTAAGTGTGGCTATGATCCAATAAGATTATTAAATAATCATATTATTTTTTGTTTAATTAAAACTTGCGTGATATTTATGGATTTTGTAATTTGAAAACATTTAAAAAATTTGATGCTGTCCTTGTTTTGAATCAAACTATGCAGAGCACAATACATCTTATATAACTTGTACATTCAATGATGAAAACAGGTTCAGATCTTTAAGTATTTATTTATGTAAATATTTAGATAAATATTCCACATTGCAAATATTGTCCAGGGACATAGCAAGGGGGCTGGCTAAAATGTCTAGTGTTTTGTTTTGTCCATTTTCAAGTTTTTCCGTGCTTTGTGTTTCTTGTTTCATATGTATATTAAAGCTCAAGAAAGCTAAGTCCCCAACACACTAGTGAACTTCATTATTGGTAATCAAGGGATTTTAATGTACCGGTATAACAATTGAAAGGATGTTTTCTACATGATGCATTTTTCTGTTGTTTATGTTTATTCATATACTTTTGTGCATTTAAATCTTATATGACAGAAACATTTTAATAAATTTTAGAATGAAATCATCTCGTTTTATTTCTCAATTCTTTTTATTAGGAAGAATGAGTTACACAAATTACAGATCATTGTAAGATTACAAAATACTGGTTTTTGGTGAATGATCTATAAAAAAAATTTGTTTGTTATTTCTTATTCATTGGTTACTTTTTTTTCTCTTACGTTTCCACTTTCAGAATGAAAATTAACTTGAAAACAATAATGTATCATTTAAAAAGTGGTAAACACAATATTAATATCAACACTAATTATTACAAAAAAATATTTTTGAAACAAATGACTGTCAGACAAAGTTATAATTTTACCCTAATGTATTGAATAAAATTCATCATACAAAAATTGTTGAAACTTTTGTCACCGGATTTGTCCATATGATCAAATAATGATGATTCTTTTTGTCTGCTTATTTTTACACTGTTTTTTACCATTTGAAATTGCTGAATCACATGAAACAATTTGTTTAAAATGTATTTAACATCACCAAGTTCATGATTTTATGTGACTCTCTCCTTCTCTCCTGCATTGCTCCATCCTGCAACCTCTGTAAACATTTGGTCTAATTAAGGGATATTTTTAATAGACTCATTCTAATTCTTTCTCCTTCACTAACTCTATATATGTATTGGTATGTAAATGATATATAATATAATATATATGAAATTGATCATCCATTTTATTTAAGATTATGAAATAAGTTAATTATAAATAAAAAATATCTTTTTCAATACAATAGAATTATTATTTTGATCTTTGGAAAAAACAATTTTTAAATGTTCACTTCTTTATTTTATATAGTATTTCAATTTTTACTATTGAACAAAAATTAAAATCGTCTTTTTAAAAAAAAAAAATGTTCTGGACATAGCAATTTGTCAAATAAAATTTCAACATAAGGATTTTAAAAAAAAAATGTTTTGGTGTTTTGATATGAATGATAGCCGATGAAAAACATATTTTATTTTAATGTCTTGGTTTTTTAATATGAATATTGGTATTTGCTGAAAAATATACTTTGGTGTTTTAATTTGAATGATAGTTGATTAAATTAAAAAAAATTTTTAAGGTCTTCTTTTAAATGGATGAATGATAACAGATGAAAAAATATTTAGGCTTAACTATTATGTTCTAATTTTAAAGCTCCTTAAATTCAAACGGTCAATTGTTATTGTGTTATATTCATATCATCTGTTGTCACTGCGTTACATTCAAATATTCAGTTGTTATTGGGTTACTTTTAAACAGTAAGATTTAGGTTCTTTTGCATTCACATTGTAAAATAGTAAACTGATATGTTATTACGGGTACATTCAAATTGTTCCATTTTAACATTTTGTTACATTCGAATATTAAGTTTTAAATTTGTAAATGCCAGGATATAGAAAAGTTCCATTTTTTCAAAAAAAAATTTAAATAGCTATTATGAATAAAGTTGGTCACATAATTTTACAATAACATGTTTTGATGTAACTTTCATGGCATTGCCCTTGACCTTATTGAAAAGTTTATGCGTCATGATAATATCTATCTTTTATAACTTGATGACCATTTCATTTATTTCTCCTTGGTATTAATATTCTCTTTTCCCAGTCAAGTGTTGTGTCATATTTCTTTATATCGAAATTTGTGCCCTCTCAACATCAAAACAAAAAACTGAAACCATGTCCAATGAAATTCACTGACACTTTGTTGCATTAATAATCAAGCAGATAAATGTGCAGGACCACCCAAATAAGCTGATAACTATTACACAGGATTTAAGTTTTGGCAGATAAAATAGGAATATTATTTACAGGATTATAGCAGATTGTTACGGGGGGGGGGGGGTGTGTTTGCAAATGTGAGTAGTTCATATTTTAATAAAATGGCTTTTAAGCTTAGGAACAATTTAAATACCATAATATTGACTTATATTTCTTTCTTTTTTTCTTGGATCATCCAATCAATAAATATGTTTATTTTTTCTCTAGGTTCAGAGAAGCAAGAGAAAAACTAATTCAACAGATGACATCAAATTTTTTTAAAAACAGTAAACAAAAGACAGTAATGGCGCAAAACATAACAGCTTTGTGCTTAGCCCAGCCTTCATGTTTGAAATTCATAAATTATAGACCACAAGACTGAAACTCATGTCTTATAGACCACAAGACTGAAACTCATCTTTTATAGACCACAAGACTACTCATCTCTTATAGACCACAAGACTGAAACTCATCTCTTATAGACCACAAGGCGGAAACTCAATCCCTTATAGACAAAACTTCAAGCACACCAAGAGTCCCAGACAAATATAAAAATTATTTTTAAAATTATAAAATAATTATAAAAATATAATCAATTTCTATCTTTTTTTTCAACATATTATTTAAATTATTATTTTTACTCAATCTATGAAGCCATGTACAAGGAAAACTGATATCTCTAGCTAATTTTATTCAAAAATAAAAATTTCAACATTTTAAAAAAAAAAAAAAAAAATTTTTTTAATGCTCCCTACAAATATATTTAAAATAAAAATTCAATATGTTTTAAAGTTCAATTTTTTAATCCCTAAAACTATAAAGTCTATCAGTTTGAATAACAATTGTGTTGCTCATCCATGATAAAGATTTTATATTGTATATGAATAAATTTATAGATTGATGTATACATAGATAGCATCAGTTAGTAGGGGTGAAGCTTGCACCATGGATTCATACTACCGGTATACTATTGCTGAAGTGGACCTAATAAGAAATCTTTTGGCAGGGCGAGATCACAATAGTGGTGCTGTCCCCTGACTTTCTAACGATTGTGATTGATGCAGGTGAAAGCAACAGTAACCTCCCCTCCAAATAGTTTGGAGGTCAGGAGCTATCAAATAATTTTAACATCTTTTCAGTTTCAGTTAATACCATGGCATGTTAATAAATCTACAGGTCAAATTGCCTAAAAATAAGAAGTTGGCTCAAAGTTTTGTGTGCAGTCATTTTATGGAGAAATATGCAGCAATTTTTTTTTTTTTAAATCTCGCGATGGCCTCTGCTGACTCCTATTTTAGTTGTTATAATTTCTCATGCAATTCATTCATCGAGATTCGCTCAGATCCCTCCAACTTCCCAATGGGAAGAAGGATTCTGTTGCCCAAAAACAAAGGAAACTACTCCACCTTTGTTAACCTAGCCATAGCTTAATGAGGGTGAGTTGAGACACTTGCTAGTTGTAGTGAGAGGGGTGGAGATCGAGGGCGGCACTACTAAGTGACATCGACCCTCGTGACACTTTTTTATACAAAATAGGCAATCACACACTTTCTATAGGACCACTGGTGAGACATGTAAAATCATTATTATAGTTAATTTTGCCCAATCCTGGCAGATTAAATTCAAAGTGCCAATGTGAGGTTTTTCTTAAATTTATTGTGATCATTTGTATTAAGTTTGTTTAAACTAAAATAATGACAAAGAGAAGATGGTTTTCTTTAATAAATATGTATTGACACTTCTGAGCAAAATAGATTATACATGAAATAAATGGATAGGGTCAATCAATTTTAATCCACAAATCTTTAAATTAACAAAAAAAAAATTATATAAATTACATGTATCAAATTAACAGATAAGGTCATTAATTAATTTACAAACTTTTAACATTAAAAAAAAAAAATCAAGGAATAGTTCAAGTAGAAAAACCTTGAGAACAGTTAAATTGTTGCATTTCAAGCTATAATCAAAATATATCCTAAAATTCATTGCTTTCCTAAACTATAGTTAGGCAAGGGAATTTTACTTGGCATTTATTTACATTTTATAAAATGGTGTCTTTACTCACAGACATAAACCTTTCAAATAATTTTAAGTGGCACATTGTATAGTTATCAGAATAGTATAAATCACCATATTAAAGAAGTGTGCCACAAAATATTCTGTTTAACTATGTGTAGTGCAAAAACTCAAAAAAATATAGCAGACAATTTTTCTTCAAAAACATTACCTTTTTTTTTTTTATAATAGTGTACCTATATTTTAGAACTCTTTAAGCAGCAACTAAAAGCTATCTGGTTTTTCCTCTAAAAACTGAAGCTACATATTTTAGTTAGAAAAAGCAACAAAATGTCAACTTGGTTATTTGAGATTTTTTAAAGCTTCAAGTACTGACAAAAATTGGACCAGCATGACACTCCATTAAGGCAATATGATCTATCAACATGTGCATCATTCTGATAGATTTTCCTAGAGTTTGGTTTTTTGGTTACCAATAGCTTAGGTATTCTTCTTGGACTGTAATAAATCCAGCAGCCATAATCCTTTTATAAATCCTAATCCACACCCAGCCCAACTTTTCAGTTTGTAAAGACTTCTGGTGTGGTTAACAAATCATGATGTTGTCATCAGTTATGATGTGATTAGTTAACATTTCTGTAGAGATTAGTTCAGTTTATGATAATTGATTTGAAAGTCTATCAATGAATGAACAAATAAGTACACGAAATGTTTCTTTCTATGAAAATGCCCAGGCAGGCTTTTAGATTTAGGCTTTGTCTGGTCTACATGAGTGACTTATATTTATTATCCCTTAATATTTTAATGATAAATAGATTGGATTACAACAATCCATTGTTAAGGACAGGGTTATTATCCACATTTGAATAATAGACTGCAACCTTCTAGTTCTATTTACCCCACTTACTTACACTTGTTTAAGTTACCGTAAATTAAGTGTCAAGATGAACTATTGAGTTGGTGTGCTCCTTGATGAGAATTAACAGCAGCTTTTGTACGGTAATACCAGGACCCAATCTTTGTATTCTGCAAGGCATCTTGAAAAGCAGTACAACCTTCAATGGAGTTCAGAATTCCATAGACAGCCTGGGGAGACAAAGCAATTATTTGTATATAAGGCGGGGAGGATAAAAATCAGTGATGCACAAGACAATGCCTCTCCTGTTGAGAGGTAGTGACTGCCTCATCTATAGCAATCTTGGCCACCACTGAAATATGGCCTCTCCTACTTCAGTGTGTCTGAATGGATGCCTTCATGAAAGTACTTCTACTCATGTTGCACTGGCCCTCCCAGTTTTAACAGACACATCAGTCCACATACCACAATACTGGTCTGGTGGACCCTGTCAGTCCCCAGGATTATAAAAGTCCTCGCCCAGACACAACAGACCCAGGAAGTTGCAATCCTCTTTCTATTACTAAAATGGCCTAAACCTACAATGAAATATGAACTGCCTGATCAACACCACTGAGGGATGTCACAGCGCTAAAGACTTCCTTTTGGTTTGCTAGATCAGTGTGTTGTGACTTGGTGTATCCAGCTTCTGGATCTGGCTGGGAAGGAAAGCCACAGACAAAACCAGTAATAACCATGGTGATGAAGACAAACTGAAATACATCAGAGCTTGGGCTTTGCCTTGTTTTATCAAGGCCTGCACCCAGGGCAGGTTGAAACGAACACAAACTTATGTTTGTGGGATATCAAACAAAAAAGAATAAATCTGCACATAAAACAAGTACATATATTACTACTTAAGAAACTTTGCATCACAATAGAGACCCACACATGACAGGGTATACTCATTACACTTGAAAGTGCCATGACTGTAGGGGCATGACATCCAAGTTGAGTTTGAGGTAATTTCCACACAGATCAGATTACAGATATCCAAAATGCTATTTTTGGTACCAAGGTAAAAATATACAGTTTTTAGTAGGGGTGTGCCGGAGTCCGGTCCGGAATCCGGTTCCGCCGGATTTTGCACTATCCGGTGAAATCCGGTTCCGCCGGATTTACATGTATCCGGAACAACCGGATTCCGGAATCCGGAATATACCGGATTTCGGAATTTGCCAGATTTTGTGACTCACCGGATCATAATCTGAAATAAAAGTAATTCTCTTTCCCGAATTCCACACGATCACAATACATTAATCGATTGTTTCGAGCGTTGAGCTTGTTTAATGTTTAATATTCCGTACATACCAGAGGCTAGAGTCAGCACCGCTAATAGTGGCCAATAGTGTAGGGACTTTGATAAGAAAATTTAAACTTTTTGTAAAAATAAACCAATGGCATAGTTGAAAAGATGTAATTTTTTAAAGAATTATAACACCAAAATCATATGTTTAGCTGTTGTAGTTGTAAAGTTATGAATTTTTAAAGTACGACTTGGTTTGTCATTTTTTAACATGGACTGCATCTCCACATTCTGTGATCTCATTCCGCCAATCCCGTCATGCGCAATGACTATATAGTTTATATAAGGCAACGCATTCCCTGCCTTATCACTAAAATACTGTTTAGACTTAGTTTAAACTTTCAACTTTGGCACATGAATAATTAATTAAAGCTTTCCCTGACCAATGGTTTAATAGTTTTTGCACACGGCAAACTCTTATGAATGAAACTCTGAGATAGTACTTTGATATAGCCATTATGCAAGTGGCTGTGAATGGGTGCCAATGACAAAATGTTGCACACAGAAAATTCTGATCATTTATAATATGGATTCTACCGGGTTGTTAAAGCTCAAATTAAAACATTCCAGTTTAAATGTCTTTAAATGCATTCTGAAACACAAGTTATCAATTATTTTGATGTAAATAGTGATAATAAATTAATATTTCCTAAGTATCGTCAACTTCCGCCATTAAAAAGGGGGGCGTGGCCAACCCCATGGCGAAATTAGGTTGAGCGAGCTGCATGACCTGCTGCGAACGCGTAGAAACATGGCGTCTCTCGTAAGACACATATCCAAATGGAACGGAACTCAAATATATATCGAAAGTACTAATTTAATAATAAATAGACACACACATCGGAAAATTAAAAACTCGGATTTATTGGCGCCGATTGCGAATTCCCATACACAAAAAGTAGTAGTCCACCTTGACTTACCGAAGTATCTACCAATAGTACCAAAATTCGGAATCCGGGAGAAACCGGAATCCGGATTATTCCGGAATCCGGCGGATTTCGCATAAGAAAATCCGGATCCGGTTGGAAAAAACGGATCCGGCACACCCCTAGTTTTTAGCACTTACAGAACACAATACAACAAGACTGTGACTGCTGGTGATTTTAACAGCCACTCTTCTCAATGAGGGTACCAAAATTACAACACTGGAAAAGCAGTAGAAGATCTCTGCAACCCTAAAGACATTTTCACAATACACAACAAGCAGCGGACACCCACTCTTCTCCACAGGGCTCATGACACCTGGGTTGGGTTTGCATAAAGCAAGACGTGATAAACTACCTAGTGACATCACCCATAGAAAAACACCACAGAAAAAGTCAGCAAAACAATAAATCACAACGCCATATTAGAAGCTGCCTTCCTAAGTATTTTGCAGGAGGTCATAGAAACCTTTCTGGGACAAAAATAAAGAACAAGGGGGGAAAAAAAACAGAATCTGACAATCAGGGACTGGAACAATCTTTCAAAAGGAATGGTTGAGGCGACAACACTAGACACATTTGTGTCTATTGCCTCAAGCCTTCAAACCCCTAGTGCATGATTTCCTCATCAACACCAGTAACAGAAACATTGCAAATCCCATCTACATGCATAGGAGCCAAAATGATCAATAAATTGATCGTGGGCGCTTAAGATAAAGAAGAAGAAGAAAATAATCCAAATGTGTAAAACAATATAATTCTAGATCAGAGCATTGCCAAAGCGAAAATAGCTCTCAAGACAGCCAAGAGAAATAAATGGGCATAGCTAAGAGATGGGCAACATCTCGGGAGATCTAAGATATACATGTGAAATACAGACTAATGTAGACTCACTAAATCTTATAACTGAGGAAGCAGTTATAAATTATTGAGATGGTTGAAAGGTACAGAAGGCTAGACAAGCAACATCCAAATAGACAATTGGTTAAAAAATGGAGAACAAATCATAGAATTAAACAGAAATCAACACTAGATGTGGCCTCTCTAAAATTGAAGAGAAACACCTCCTACCTGACAGAGAGGCCTTTCCCCAAACCAACATTTACAAATGCCATGTATCGAAACAGACCTAAAAGAAAAGACATAAAATTAAAGTACAAACCCTTGCACACAACGACAGCTGCAGAAAAGCCATAGCATCCTACCCAGAAGATATAAATCAAATATACACAGATGGGTCAGCTTTCAAAGGTGACCTACAAGCAAGCTAGTGAGCAAATAGAGTACCCAGACCGATCATGTGAGTAACCTGCAACCCTTGTGGGACAATCTTCAGTAATTGTGCAGCAGAAGTGACTGTTATTGAAGCAGCGTTACACCTCCTATCTGGAATCTTCACAGTTTATCCCACCAAACAAAGTAATGTTGTTACATTCTCCAATTGCAATGTGATACTTCAGGTAGATGGGCACCAAGATCTCACAACAATGACAGTAAAATAACTACTTCTGAAAATAAACACCTTCCTAGAAACCTATGCAGTCAAGTTAACTTAATAATGTATACCAAGACACCACAATATACCAAGACACCAAATTTTACCAAGACACCAAAATATACCAGGACACCACAGGAAATGAAAAAGCAGACAAACCAGCAGAACAGGGAGCATAAAATGATCAGCCAAACATACCTACATCACTCAACACAGCCAAACATACCTACATCACTCAACACAGCCGAACATACCTACATCACTCAACACAGCCAAACATACCTACATCACTCAACACAGCCAAACATACCTACATCACTCAACACAGCCAAACATATCTACATCACTCAACACAGCCAAACATACCTACATCACTCAACACAGCCAAACATACCTACATCACTCAACACAGCCATACACACCTACATCACTCAACACAGCCAAACATACCTACATCACTCAACACAGCCATACATACCTAAATCACTCAAAACAGCCAAACATACCTAAATCACTCAACACAGCCAAACATACCTACATCACTCAACATTTCGAAGCAAATTATCAGAGCTAACAAAAAAAGAAGAGTGGTTAAATGGATGAGCTTTGGGCTCAACAGGAAGATGTGTTTTCAAACATATACCCAGCTCGGATCCTTAAATTCCAGTACTGCCTCCAAAGACACGAGCGGGTCATAAACTTTCATCTGTGTACAGGACATAGGTAACGTGTTCGTTTTAGCCGAGCTCTCTTTTGTAGGTGTTAATTAATAACAATCTCTTCCTCACAATAATAACATTGAAGTCCTCGGTAAACACAATTAAATTTAATGCAGCAACTGAACGTATTTACACTTTCTACAGGATAAAACGTATCAATGAGAACTCAGTACAGCCATCTTCCTCTGGCTCCTGCCTACATACACTACTCTCTGGCCTTTTTCTCTTTCATCACGTGATCTCCTTTTTACCAACGTAATTACCACCTTAACCACATAAAACCAAATTAAATATAGAATGTGCCCCCTATGCAAACATCCAAATGAGACAGTAACACACCACCTCTTCCACTGCCCAGCACTTCAAGACTTACGTCTAAACCATCTACAAAAATACCAGACTTAACAAACACCCTATGTATCAAAAAAGGAACAGCTGCAGAGAAAGTGTAACTTTTTCCCCATGGCCCCAGGCCAAAGGGTATGTGCCCTAAAAGGCCAATGGATCTGGATGATGTAAATAAGACAATCAGTTAAATTTAATCCACTTCTGTCTGCTGCTGCTCTATCCTCCTATCTGCTTGAGGAAACGGATAGAACTATGATTTTCTGACTGCTGATCAGGAATATATATATATATATATACATATATATATATATACATTATATAATTAATCATTATGTCCCCTACACAGTCATAGATGCAAAGTTTTTTTTACATACCAGCTTTTCATAAAGAAATTATAGATCACTTTTAAAAACAAATGTGTAAATATTTGTAGCCTAGATTATTTTATTGCATAATATGAAACTTAGTAAAAAGAGTTTTTCTACCAGTTGGAATCTATAACAGTATTTACCAAGTCAGCTAAATTTGGTTGGTCCCCTCCCATGAAGACTCTTTCTTTACCAACAGCCTTAACCCATTCATTGCAAGCATCATAGAGGGATTCACGCACATCCTCTTTAAGTTTATACCTGTAAAATATACATTTTAATTTTTAATCATCATTTATTTCATAATTTTTATTGGAGTGCTTGCAATTTGAATCTAAATATTGTTTCAAAAGGTAGCGGTTGCTCTTTCATAAATTTTTCAAATGACAAAATTGCCAAAATAATATGAATATTTAAAAGAAATAATTTAGCCAAATTAGCAAATAGATATTTTTTTAAAAGCTCATTTTACTTTATCTATTTCTCCCCATAAAATACGTTACAAAAACAACAATAAAACCCCCAAACAATGCAGATACTTTTGAAGTGCTGAATTCTTCCCCACTGATGTAGCATCGTTGGATCACTTACTTGTTCTTTAGGATCATTCCCATCACGTACATGACGGCGGCCCCTATGTAAATAACAACATAGCGTTCCAGAAAGGAGAAGTTCTGCTCCCACTGTCCTACCGCAGAGAAATACTGGAAAGCTTGTAGGGATTCTTTGACAGTCCGGTAAGCGTTAGGAGATAACATGTGGACTAGGTGATCATCTGCCCACTTTCGCCATTTTCTCTCTTCACTTAGAATTAAATTTACAAACAGGAAAAAAAATGCATTAACATTTTTCTGATGAGCTCTAAAACTAAATCAACATTTGAATCTAAGGAATATCTTTAAAAACCAAGGATGTGGACAAGCTATTTTGCTCTATATTGCAATTATTTAAAAAATTATAAGTAACCAAAAATACAAATTTCAATTTGCTGTTTTTTAACGCACTAAAGTCTACATTTATTTTAAAAAAATCAAATAATAGATTTAAAGAGCATTTAAGTGAGAAAACTGTAAGGATGTGGTACAGTAATTGTTAAATGTGGTATGGTAATTGTTGAATGTGGTACAGTATTTGTTGAATGTGGTATGGTAATTGAGCCTCTGCTTTGGATAACAACTAATTTGGAGATGACACAATTTGTGTGTCTCTTTAACCTTAACAGGAGAAAGAGATCCCTAGACTTGATAAGTTACTTAACTTGATTGCAGTCTCTTCCCCCATTATGGTTAGAGTCACTTGAAAATTTACCTCCTTTCTTCAACTGTGTGGTTCAAATCCACTGTACGTGGAAACATGATGAAATATTTATTTTGGAAGTCATATTTTTTCCGTCTGCCTTCGTTCTCTGTTAGACAAGGGTAATAGGAGCACAACTGTGGTATGCTTGCTGCATTGTCATGGAGATAGGATTCTAATACACTTATGATCACAGAGCTATCCTTGATGACCTGAAATTTAACCAACAACTATTTTTAACTTTATTTCACAGCTCTTCATTATCAATGTAAAAGTGAAAACCATAAATAACATTGACAATCCATTAAAAAAATATCATAGAGTATTGTAATGAAATAGTTGGTAAACATATTTGCTGTAAAATATATGAAAAAAAAATTGAATTGAATTACCACTTCTTGATCGGACCCAGGAAGTTCTACTATGACAATTGGTACTTTCTGATAATCTGACCACTTGAGTTGTTTCTTGGTGACAGAATTTACTTCTATAACATCATATGAAAAGCCGTGGTAATCCAACACTGCTCTAACTTTACAGCAGAATGGACATGTCTGATACTGAAACAAGGTGAGCTTCAAACCTGATTTATCTGTGTCAACCTGAACCTAAGATTTAGAATAAACAACAACAAAAAAAGTTATTTATAAAACAACAATATATCCATTATAAAAGCCCTCGTCCTTAATAAAAATGGCAGAAAACCTACAAAACACATGAGACAGAAAAGTTCTTCTTAAAATATATGGACCAACAAAAGAATGAATATGGATGGAGAGTATGAACCAACCTGGAATGGCATAGTTTATATCAGGATCTCACGCTAGTAGCGGAAATAAAAAAGGACAGGCTACGCTGGGTGTGACACTTAGAAAGCATGGCTTCCAAGTCAAAAGATCATGTGAGACCCAGCTACATGAATTTGTAGAAGACTTGGTGACCAACCTGGCAAACTGACGTGCTGGACTTCTCAAAGGCATTTGACCGTGTAAATCATAGTTTGCTTTAAAATAAACTTCAGAGATGTGGGATACAAGGCACTACAAAACATAGATCTCTAGCTTCCTCAGCAACCATTGACAGGCAGTAGTGGTGAACGGTACACGCTCCCCTTTTGTCAGCGCTAAGTCAGGGGTCCCCCAGGGCTCAGTGCTATCCCCTGTTTGTTCCTAGCATACATCAATGACCTACCCAAGAAACTAACCTCCTAAGTAAGAGGGTTCGCAGATGACATGGCGGTGCATAGGACGATCGCCAACAGTTCTGAGCAGGATCAGCTACCACAGGCACTCCATTGGTTAGCTGAGTGGGAGATGAGCTGGGACATGGAATTTCATCATGCCAAGTACCAGACACTGCCAGTCTCTAGAAGTAGTACCCCCTCAACACCCCATTATGAACTGCATCGCCATAAGCTTGAGCCAATTTCCCCGTAAGGTACATCTGTGTTACCATTCAAAGAGAGGTCCGATGGGACCAGCATATTAACAATGTGAGCAACCAGGCCAACAAGACCCTAGGGTTAAGGCCTATAATCCTTTGTCTGGCTGCTTTTTGATTATGCATCTTCAGTCTGGGACCCATTCACCCAGAGGAGCATCGTCAGGATGGAGGCGTCCAGTGACGGGCAGCACGCTTTGTCCTGAACCGCTAGAGGAACATTTCTAGTACTGGCAGTATGCTGGAACAATGAAGATTATCCAGACTCTCCATGATATACAAGATAAAAAATGAGCTGGTCCACTGCTCCAAAATCAAACAGAAACTCGTCTCTCTCCTCCTTAGACAGTGACGAGGCCATGACAGGCAGTTCCGGCTCATAACAGCAAGAACACAGTACAGGAACTGCTAATTTCTGCCAAAGACATTCAGGGACTGGAACAAGGCGACAACACTTGACACATTTGCGTCTATTGCCTCAGGCCTTCCAGCCCCCAGCTCGTGATAATCTTGCTGTGTAGCCCTTACAACCAGTGAAATATCTTCAGTACCAAGCACAAAAATATAGCTAATCTCCTCTACATACATTGGAGCCAGAATGATTAATGCATTGATCATGGGCCCTTAATTAAGTTAATAGATAGAAGAACAAGAATGCCAAATGATAGAGGAGAGAAGAGTGTGCACCTGAGGAAAGCAGCTCAAAGTCTTAGATAGATGTCTTATAAAAACTCTCATCCTTGAATCTATTTTATTTTTTATTTTTAAATGCTAGTTACTTTTATAATAAAATCCCACTTGACTTTAGTTGTATCCATCAAGTTATAATCTCTTAAGTTCAATTACAATTAAATTAATTTTTCTGAGCCATCGGCCTGCCCCAGCAGCATAGCGATAATATGACTGTATACCCCGAAAGGTACCTTGACCATGTTACTTATTCTGTATTTACAACTTGCAAACCTGATACCAATCTAATTACAAATAATCTAATGACCTAAGTTTCAGAATAACTTGAATAAGAACTTATTAACTTACTGGCACTCCTTCGAACTCTGGTCCCAAATGTCTATAGGTAATATTAGGGAAAGACTGCAAACGGGTTGGGTAAAAGGAAATTAGCATCCTTTTTTTCAAGTTTTCCCATACTTTTCGCTCATTTCCCAAATGTCACATAGTATGCTATTCATTAGAAAGTGCCAAACGACCTCAATATATGGTGACCTAGTTCTTTCGTCTACATTTTTTAGCAAATGAAGTTGTCTTGCAGACTAATTGCTTGTAATAATATAAAATAAACAATACTATGGCCGGCAGAACAAAAGCGCTGGTTCATATTGCAAATAATTTTTTGCCAGGAAACATTCTGCAAACTTACGACACAACGCAGAAGGCACTGCATGTGAGAATGCTTTGGTTATGGTGGCTTGCTGAATAGCATCTCAAAACTGTCAAAGCGCCTTGTGTTTAGTCCAACTTGCTGAGACAACCCATAGTGAACCAAGGAAATGCTTCCGTGCTATGTGATATGCAGTATAGGCACCGGATAATTTTTTTGCAAACTGCAGGCTTAGCACACAGTAAATCCACATGACGATATTCTGGTCAATTTACACAATCCACACCACTTTGAACTTCTGTGTAGGATTCTCTCCCTTTTGTTTATTCTTGTATTGTTTCTAGAATGTTAACTTTTCTTTTATATGTTGATGGAATGTTTTAGATTATAATTCCATTGGGTGGTTAATTATAATATTTAAATTTTCTAGCATTTTGGAAAATGGGTATAGTATTGTATTGTATTGATTTTCTGACAACATTTGGATTTTCTTTTGAGTGGAACCTGAAATAAAGTGTATTCTGTGAAACTTTTAGTTGGATTTTCATTATTTTAAAATTATTTTGTATTGTTTTTCATTTTTACACTTTTCTTAGCCCAGAGAGTAACTGTACCACAGTAGCATACATGTTTTTTCATTACTTTATTTTTAACACTGCTGCTATTTTAGTTGCCATGACTTGTAATGGGTCGTAGGAAACCAAGATGGTGGTCGTTGGAAATAAGTGGTGTGGATTGTGTAATTTTACTGATGGTCTATTGGGTTTACGAAGTGAAATGCAAGCAAGTGAAAAAGTACCAATTTTTGGACAGCACTTGAAGTATTTGAGTGACAATTATCACACTTGACCATGTACTTGGTGTTGTTGCTAGTCTGGTCATCCTTTGCACGTGAAGATGACCAAGGCCCAAGGCAATTTTTTACTCAGTAGTAACCTTGACTTGGTTGACTTGGACTGCATTTTGTTTAAAGTGAGGGAGAGTTGCTTAATTCGTCAGCCTCACTCTCTTGTCCTTGCCCATTTGATCCAATGACAAAACTTAAGAAGGCTGGAAATAGAACAGGATGCAGTAGATGACCTGCAGTGTGTGTTTCTTCACTGTGCCCTTTAAGGGTTATACTGTTACTTTCGCATGAGTTAGTGATAAAAATTTTTTGATTGAACTGTCAAATTAACTCTCAAAGTATGTTGTCTTGACTATTCACCCTTTGATGGCTGATGGATTATTAATTGATTTTTTAATCACATTTTTACCTACCAAAGTTATTTTTAACGGGCAAATATAATTTTTTTATAAATTTAAAAAAAATATCAATTTTAAGCGTAAATTTATATTATTAATAAAAAAAAATTAGCTCCAGCATCGTGCTTCTTTTTTTGTCGATGACGCAATTTTCGTCCGCCATATTGCCAAACCTGTAAAAGTTCGGCGAAGGTGGTTGCAATCATTGTGACTAATAGGCTCCGGATTTATCTTCCAAACTTGTTGGTGATTATATTTAACGTCAAAACATTTTGATAGTCCGATAAAAACAAGAAGAAGACATAACTGCTGATGATTTTGTATATTTTCACCAGATCGAAAGTTTGCTATCAACGGTAAGATTTTTTTCTTTGTTACAGCGAGTCTAAACGCTCTCAACTTTAATGGAATTAGTGGAAAAAACTAAGTTTACATTGATATACTGTAACAGTGGACCACATAATTATTGAAATTAACTATTTAAACTTATTTATAGTCATTTATTTTTCCAGTATATCAAGTGTATATTTTATTGTAATTTTTTTTTTCATAGGCATAGTTGTTAGAAATTTCCTTTGTTTACATTGGATACACTTAGAAGAGGCGATGACGTTTAGGTCTATATTTTAGTCTTGATTAAAAACAGCTCTTAATTTTGAATTTTTATTAGTTTAAATTGAATAATGTTCAATTAATGTTTTGTTCAATTTTTTTTTAAATCAAAAGACCTAAGCCTATAGGTAATGCTTATATTTGATTATAATTTCAGAGTATCAGAGTGCTGACTAGGATATTAGACAACCCAACATCATGACAATGCTATTCCTGTCATATGACCTGAGCTAACTACTGAAACTTGTTTAAAACAAGACAAGATAAGGAGTACATTCACCTTTATCACTTTTCAAATTCAGTTTACATCAACAAAGCTGGAGATGCTTTGTATATGTAAACACTAATTGCAGCTGCAATGTTATGGCAACTAAGCCAACTCGATTTCAATACTGGATATTCCAGCTGATAAACAATATTTTCTAACATTCATTGGACTCAGAACCTACATGACCCATTTGTGTGATCTGTTACTGGATATAAAGGAGTTTATTCACTGGATAATGGAAGTCATAAATTGTTTTAGGCCAACATACATACCTATAACTATATAGTATGCTGCTATGAGAAAAAGATAGTAAACTACCGATAAGCAGGTACAGTTAATTTCATCTGTACCTGATGAAAAGTGAGTGCATGCAAATATGTTACTGGATCAAGCATAATAAATAATCGAAATAAGCAGGAGAGAATACATACTTATTTCATAAATGTAACACAATATCGGTATGAATATTTAAATGATAAAGGAACTATTGTCTCTGTCAGATTCAATATCTAAACAATATAAATGGTTCTGTTATAGTAAGCTAAGCTAAATTAAACTAATGTGTCTGGTTGATTGGACTGTGATAAACTTAGTGGATAAAAGATATCTGCCTTGGAAAAAATACAAATAATGTGGACAACAATATTAATTTTCAAGTGTTAGGATTTTAGGCATATTTCTTTTAATCTGAAGAAAACAAAATGCTTGTCTTGAATAATGAAAAAAGATCTTATAGGTTTATTCTTTTTAGTTTCTCAGTAGAATTAATTAGGCAGTGACAAATTTTTTTGACAATAGTCATGTTTCTGCCGCAGCACTATGAATGATTATAAAATAGCAATGTCATGCTAAAACTGCAATGGTTATTTACAGTCAATATATAATATAATGTGAACATCTTTATTATGTTTATAAAATAGAGAGAAACTTTTGTCCTGCCATTGTTATATAAATGAGTTTCTGGAAAACAGTAGTTTTCATATTTCATACCGATATGTTTATTTGTACCCCATGTGGAATAATTTTTATAAAAATATGTAAAAATTATTCACCTTGCTTTATATTATTTGCTAATAGTAATTGCATTTCTCTCATGAAGTACTTACCTGGTTTTCTTTAACTTTTTTTAATAAAAAAAAATTTTTTTTAACACATGCACTATTTTTTTTTAAAAAAGGAAGTATTCTTAAAAGTGGCATAATTAATACAAATAATGGTAAAATTGCTTGAAATTTGTATATGAGTTGTACAAATGGATGCCATTGGTGAATATAACAAACATTTGAACTTAGGACTTAACACTTATTTTTTTGCTTTACCTGTTTGTGGTATATTTACATTTTTGTGAAAATTTTGCACAGCAAAAAACTTAAACTTTTGGCCATAAATAAAAACCAAATTAACTGTGATCTCACAAATGGTATAAAAAATAGATCATTCAATTCTGAATCTAATGATATATAACATGTTATTACTGCTATGTTACTATGTTATTCACTGAACAAGCAGCCAGATTGTAAAGGTACCTAATGAGAGAGAAAAAAATGGCAGAAAACCAAGAACATTTAAGAGTTAATTGCTCATTCGACGCATTTTATTATTGTTTTGAATTTGGTTGGGACCTGCATTCGGAGGAGTGCAGACTTACTTAAAACTTATACTTAACTTAAATAATGATAATGTTACTAGTTACTAGTTACTTACATTCCTTGATGGCTTAATTGCATGCAATCTCTCTCTACCTTCTGCAATGACTTTAAAACGATTCCAGTCACTTTTAACCAAACCAAATCCAATTAAGCAGGTTGCAGTAAGAGCTACACCAACTTTTGCAATATATAAAACTGAAATTGTAGACCTACTAAACTCTTGTCCACCAACACGACTGCTCTGATTCAATCCACAAGCTCTCAAATAGAAATACCGGGATTTAGCGTTCAACAGAGATTTAAAACTAGGACACCGAGTAAGATAATGGCTTCTCTGCACTTTTAAAGGATTTGCATTACTAAACTGTAGGCCTACATGCTTATTAAAATGTATACGCCGAAAAGATGCATTTGATATTGTACGCCAGATAAAAGTTTGGCTGAAGGGCGCCGCCATCTTTTCTTTACATAATTGTGGATAGGATTGTGGGGGGGGGGGGGGGGGGGATAATTTTTCCTTTTCGTTTTGGTTTATGCTTATTAGATATAACATTTAATAATTAAATTGAAAAAAATGCAAATCAAATACAGGCCTACTTGAGATTTTAGTGACTTGAGTTTGAGTGATGTGACTCGTGTCTATTGTGACTAAGTGAACAAGTCTTATTGATTATTGGGTTTTAGAATGGGAATTCAAGTTTCTTAGTTTTTGTCGATTGTCAGGCCATTTTCAAACAGTTTTTTTTTTTTTTTTGTTGTAATAAGTAAAATAAATCGATCCGTACAATTTTTCTCATTTCCTCGAATAAAACTTATTTTTGCTTTAACAGACAATTAGATAAGTCTGCAACTGATTTGATTAATTTCTTGGATGGCAATAAATTCAACTAGGAGTTTAATCCCACATTGTTTTGTTAACCTACCCTAGCGATGCCACTGTTTTATAGGGCTACATGTTCATTAGTCATTAGCCACATGATTTTTTCGTACCCACATTTGGGGTAATTTATCGCTGTTCGCAACCTCTTTTCCCAAACATGGGGTATACAAATAGAACGCTTGCTTTGTTAGTTCTACAAACTAATAGTAATACTCTTTCAAGTAGCCTACCAGTCACGATCTTGAAAAAATATCAAATATTCAACTGACGCTTTCGAACTCCGAACTTGCCAAATATAATGTCAATCTGACATTGCTGTACGGGGCAGGTTGGAATACATCTTAAATAACCAATAACCGGTTTAAAACTGGATTCTGAAAACCGTTAATTTGTTCCACCTCGGTCCTCCCAATACCAACCACCCCAATGTTTACATTTATTTATTTTTTCAACTTCCCAGTTTTTGCACAGGCGGTGGGCACCGTGTGAGATTATTGCCCTTGTTTCAGCATGTGTGAGGGGGGGGGGGTAATTCTAATTGCACCCCCACCACTTGTTTTAATTTTTGAAATAGTCGCCACCATCCCCCCCCCCCCCCAAATACAGAGAAAAACAAATTAACCTTTTTACCGGATTTCAAGCGTCACGCATAAATCTCGTTGCGTGAAGCCCGCCCCCCCCCCTTTTTTTTTTGTTGCTATTAATATAAAACAAGTGGCGTTGGGGCCGGGAGTTTTTAAGGGGAAGCAGGACGCACCAGGGGCAATATATAGGGGCCTATATATATAAATTTGCACAACTCATTTCAAGCTATTTTCTTTGAATAGCGACAGGTTAATAGTTTCTCTGATTGCAGAAGGAGTTCGAGTTTTTCCCTGGGCATGGATAAAAGTAAAATGATGTGTCCTTTTTTAGACGCTAAACTCGCTCTCGACACCCTTGGGTGGATCCAGACGTTGCCGCCACGCCCACCCTATGCCAAAATAAATATAGACACACTGACTAACACAGTCTCATTGGAAAGTCTATAATTAAAATAATGTACCCTTTTACATGTAGGGTCCACATTGTCATTATGAAGAAATCCAATGAAAAGCAAATAATTTATGAAGTAGCTTTCTCTCAGGCCCAGTGGCGACGCCATCAAATTTAACATGGCGGGTCCCTTGCAGGTCTTAAAAAAATTTGGCGGGTCCCAAATAAATGTATTAAAAATAAAATTTATTTATTAAGTAATGTTTATTAATCTACTACCTTAACCCAAATTTTACATACATTGTCAATTGTCATAATAAATTTATTTGAATGTATCATATTTGTATATGCGTTTATCGACTTTTCAAGTTATAGAGTTTCTATAAACACACACGCACACATATTTATAAAAATAGGTACATAAATCAATATAAATAAATAAATATATAGAAAATATAAATAGAGTGTCAGTACCTACGCTATGGGGGGGTTACTGAAAAAGTACGCCATGCAACAGGGGGGAGGGGGGTCGAAATTCGTGACATTTTTGCGTACGTAATATATGGATGGCCTCTTACAAGTTAAAAACTTAAATTTTATATATATTACTTTTTATGACGTTATATTGACTTTTGTTGTCGATAAAAATTTAAACATATAAAGGCATTTAAAATGGAAGTTCTATTACATGTAATATAGTTTACGCTTAATGAGCATATATACAATATTAGTAACTAATAGGGCCTACAAATTTACCAGGTCATTTGCCTGGCCCCAAGTTTTTTTACCAGGTCCTGGGACCCGGCGGGACCTGGTTTAGCGTCGCCACTGCTCAGGCCCCATCAATTTATCGTACCCCACATTTTAGAAGTCATCGTGTGTATTTGTGTAAGGTTCAAGTAAAATGGCCATAATAAAATAGATTTTCATCCAATCATTTTTCTCGGATATTGTTATAAATTTTGAAACAAATTACAAGAAATACTACTCAACATGATTTTCAAAGTAATTACATTGATAATTGAACAGCTGTGAGAAGTAGGAAATTCCTAGTTCTATAAAAACCTTGACCTCACTTATTTCCTACTTTGTTTGTTGTGACAGGAGAGGAGGGTGGGGGGAGGGGGGGGGAATCGATGTGCCGGGAAGCCAGTTATTCTTAATTTAGCCTTCCACAGTTTCGGTTTCGAAGAACCTGAAATTTCGTTGGAGGTTTCTGTGGAATTTTAATTATATTTTAAACAACTTGAAAACTTGTATAAAACACACAGTAATAAAGTAGTGCACTACATTGTGAATGTCGAGATAGTCTAGTTAAATAATTTGATTGTGAACTTTACGGGATATACTAAAAAAGCTGAGGCGTGTATCATTCTCAATAAGTTCTACTCACTTGACGACTTGACTTAAGACTTAATTTAATTATAAGGCAGGATAAATAAGGTAATATTAGTATTATTATTAATAATAAAATAATTATAATAATTTAACCAATTACTAAGTCTAAGCGTCACGTGAGTCATATTTTTATTTTAATACGAATATTATTTATAAAAATTTTAGATTGTCAGATTTAATGATAACTTTATTAGTTTAATCGATGATTTAATTAATATAATAAATAATACATTGTTATTAATAGTTAATAAATTAATAATTTGGCCGCCACTGAAGTGAAGATGAATGATTTAAACTAAAACGTTAGTTTAGTGATTAATAGTAACACAGAAACATATTAAATTAAGTTTCGACAATGCATGCAAGATTATTCTACTAATATTCAGTTTCAGTTTCTGTTCAGTTGCTTTTAATAGTTTAATGATTGTTCAAATTTATTTAAAAAGCCACACCCATTTCAAGTAATCATACAATACAACTACTAATTGTGACGACTTATGCTTAATTGGTGTTTCAGCTAAATAATAATTAAAATTTCTATGGCCTTCATAAAAAATATATTAGGTGAAGATGTGAAAGAGAATGATACAGATTGACCTCAAAGGGGCAATAGATGTTAATACATTTTGTATGTTAGGTATTTGTACCTGTATTAATATTATTATATTAAACATTCCAAGTCATGTTTCTTTTGCACAAAACTTCTTAAGTAAAATTTATACAGGTATCTAATTACCAGTCCATCAATTTTCTTTTTTAGCATGGAGAACCATAGGGAGTCTCGCAAACGTTTGCGCCCATGGCTGGAAAGAATGATCAATATGGCGGAATGTCCAGGGTTGGTGTGGGAAAACAAAGAAGAGAGGACATTTAGAATTCCATGGCGCCATTTTAATAACAAGGAATGGGTCGAAGAAGACTCCAAAATATTCAGGGAGTGGGCCAAGTACACAGGAAAATATCAAGATGGTGACAAACTAGAGTATCCAGTATGGAAAACTCGGCTCCGTTGTGCACTGAAAAAAATTCCTGAAATTAAGGAAGTGCCAGAGCAACATCGAATTGAAGATGTTAACCCATATAGAGTTTATAAGTTTGTGGATGTTCCTGTGATGAAAAGAGTTTGTGAGCTTGACACAGATTCCTGTAACAGCCAAGCAAGCTGTAATTCACATCAAGGAAGTTCACCTTATCGCAAGGACTATCTTGAAGAGCCGTCAAATTCACCACCAAACTTCCTTAAATATGTTGGTGGTGATCAGCATTCAAATGTACCTACTGTTGTTTATGATGATGAGAACTGCGCTGCAAATTATTCCCAATTCAATGTCAGAAAAGAAAATCCGACTTCTTTTTTAAGCATGTTGAATGATTGCTCAAAACCTTTTCTTGACATGAGAGACCAGAATGACATTTCAGAATATTCAGGCTACAAATCTCAATACATGGAAGAATGTATCCCTCAATATTCTGTTAATGATGCACATGGTATGCCTCTGAGATCAACAACAGTATTGTCTGAGGTGACTGCTTATAACACAGACACAGAAAATACACAGTCAGAAAATGGTGAAATCAATGCAAGCTTGCCAGCAGATCTTATGTCTGTTGACAGCACGGACCTCTGTGTTTTAGCCAACATGGAGCTACCAGCCTCCATCTCCAGTTTGAACACACAAAGTCTGAACCTGAGCATGGAAGGTGGTCAGACCCAAAGTCTCAGCAATGCCACTGCGTCTTTGGGAAATGGTATAAGATTAGGATCACTTCAGGATAGCTGTAACTCAATTGAGGTAACTGTTATTTATGGTTCCCCCAGTCACCAGGTATTGGCCAAAACTATTCAAGGAAATGGATGCAGACTCTATTACAGCAACACAAGCCACTTGAACCTCAATGATAAAAAAATCGAGGAAACTCTTTTTGGACCAAAAGATGTTAATCAGATTGCTCTACCCAGCTTAGTTCAGTGCCCCTTTGACGTCAGTGATGACCAGAGACGCTTGATTCATGATCTATTGGACAATATGGAGAGAGGTATCGTGCTAACTTTGAAAGATGGAGACATTTTCGTGCAGCGCCTTTGTAGAACAAGGGTCTATTTAACAAACGGAACAACTGAGAGCATACTACTAGAACGCAAAAACCGAGTTCCCACACTGGCATTTGACTTTGCCAAATTTCGCCATTCATTCCAAACCTGCTCTGAAGGCCCTGATGGCTCGAAAAAAGAATTACCTAAACCTTTTTTTATTTTGACCTTGGGCCAAGAAATCAAGAAGTCTCATTACAACCCTATGAACAATATCTTGATCCATATTGTTGTCAAGCACCAAACTGCAGCCAAACTCATGTCTCAGTCTTCAAGCATGAGCAGCACATCTGGCCAATTTTACTCTTCATATGATTCATATGACAAAATTCTGGATGAAGTGAAAAAGATTAGCCTTAAATCTTAGATCTACTGTTCAGTTTATGTGAGAAAAAAAATTGTGTTAAAGTTAAGAAAGTGGATATGTCAGTGGTTAAGTTTATTGTTAGGTCAGAAGAAGTAGGCATATGAAATAAGAATGACAGCCAATTGCAAAATATGTCAACAAGCTCATATAACGATAACAGTATAACAGTATTTCTTATCAGATGTAATATGTTTTTTCACCTTAAAATTTTTTTTGCCCATTAAATAATGTTTCCATTTCTGAAAGATAATTTTATGTAATATAAGAAATTAAAAGTTGTTCAGAGTAAAGATGGTAGAAGTAAATATGTGCTTTTAGTTACACCACTTAATGTTTGAATGAAACCCATCATTTTTATGATAAAAGTATTAAAAAAATGTTTTATATAAAATTGCAATGAAAGGAATTACAATAACAGATTCTCATTCCCCTTTTCGAAATTCATTCCTTACTAAAGAATTTGTAACCAGCTAACTACCGAATGCTAAGTGAACAGAGATGGAATGGTCATAACTTAATGAAACTGCTACTCCAGCACTCAGTTCATTAATTTTTTATTTCCTTTTTGATATTTTTCAATTAGCTTTTTATTTCCTTGTTAATGTGCTTACTGTTTATTGGGTTCAAAACCTAAAGAACAATTTAAATATTTTTGTGAGATCAACTTATTGATAGGTAGAAGTTAACATACTCTGTGAAATGTAACTTGAAAAAAAAATATAAACACAACCCATGGTTTATTACTTTTTTTTATATTCTGTACTCTAATTGTTCACAAATATTGCCACTCCCTTCCTCAATGTCAGTGAGACTGTTGTTGACATTTGACCTATTCAGTGACATTTGGGAAAAACATTGATGAGCTCTGATAATTCACTTCCCTGTTGATCAAACTGATGGTTTTAGCCTTATGGTTTCTAATCATTGATAACACTAGCACTAGCAGTCCATGGCCCATATTTTTTACCAAATTTGGTAATATTAGCTCACCCTATAAAACTATGTGGAAATTAAATGCAGCATATGATGTAAATCACATGTTGTGATTGGGGGAATATTCAAGTTTTTCAAATAAAAAAATCTGTTGCTCAAAAGCTAGGCTATTTTAAATTAACATCTCATATTTGTCGCCAATAAAGTAAACTCCACTATAATTGGAGTGATGCCACCCCCAAAAAATTAAGACATGTATTTATCTAACTGAGGTATCAATCCAACCTGACTCAACACATTTTTTTTTTCAGCTCACATTTGTGCGATAATTAATTAACACTTGTTTTCATTACCCTAAGCACAGAGGCGTAGCGATGGGGGGGCAGGGGGGGACAGATGTCCCCGGGCGCAAGCTAGTTAGGTGATTTGATATTATATTATTGGTAAAAATAATGGGTTTTAGAGTTGAAAAAAGAAAAGGGGGCGCTTTAAAATGGATCTTGTCCCCGGGCGCCAAACACCCTCGCTACGCCACTGCCTAAGCACTTCATGCACAATAACTATAACACTGATAACACCCACAAAATTCATTCAGTACCATTGTACAATTAAAAAACCCAGCCCCCCCCCCCCCCTTTTTTTTTAACCATGAAAATCTCCATCAAAGTCTTTGACAATTTAATTGCAAGGTAGTAGATAAGCTCTTTCCCTCATTTTAATTTTTTTTAAATTACCAGTTGGAGTGTGATTGGTTGTAAAATTTCATTTTTAAGATGTATCCCATATTAATATTATGTGCACCTTTTATAAGGCATTGTAAATACATTTACTGGGCTTTTGTATAAATCTGCCAGTGAAAAATCGCACTGTTTTGAATAATTTTAGTCCCCTGTAACAAAGTCACGAAGAGTGAGTTTTGTCAATACCTTTTTTCAATGATTCTTTAGCCCCACTTTGGCATAACCAAGATGTATTGTAACAGATTTGAATTCATCTTGGGGTTCTCCCCAATTATTCCACCAAATAGCCTATTGGTATGGACTAGTAAGTCTGCAAGGCAGCTTCTAGAAAAGCCCTGAGTAAAAAATTTCAACCACAGGTAGAGAGAGCAGTTTTTAAACTGTTTTTTCTACTCAAAGAAAATCTAAAACAAAAGCAATAGAATGAGAAATGAATTTGCCTTCAATTCCTTTAATGATCCAGATAATGACAAACCATTTTCAGTAAATTGTGATGGATACAGTATGATGATATCAGACCAGTGCAAAATCCCAAAAGTCCTATGAACACTATTAAAGGCTGTGCTCTGGCATAATTCCATCGTTAAGTTAATAAAATAATGTTTTTACTCTCTAAACTTACAAAAAATTTCTTTGCAATAACAGTTATAATTTTTGTATTGTCATTTATGTAATATCCCAAGCTATGATGAAAAAATAACCAAGTACCTGTAATGTATTAATTATAAGAAGCCAAGTAGTTTCCTTCACACTACAAAAATAAACAAATCAAGTAGAAGAATGTCATTAAATACTCTGTTTTAATGTATTTACAAAAGCAGCTATGCACATCCATATTAATTAATCATGAATAATTAAGAGAAAAATTATGAAAATTGCTTTTTGTGATAGTTCATAGGAAATGAAAAGCTCAATACATAAAACATTACGGTAATGCATAAAAACATGTTAAAAAAAGAAATATGGAGAGCCCCCAAATCCTTCTAATTGGGTAGAAAAAACACAAAACAACCCCCACCTTTTACAATGCATGTTTCAATTTTTACAGAAGTCTACCAATTAAAAGTGTATTGGAGTTATGCACTTTGAACAATAAATCAGAAATAAACCAAAGTTAACGGGTGATTCATCACTGGTAGTAGAGTTCTAGATTCATGCCATCATGTATTTCATCTGTAACAGTAGTTAAGGTTTATAACTTCATTTTAAAGCAGATAAAGGAAGAATGGTGCAAATCTTCATATGAAGAAAATAAGATGCGCTACAGTATGAATTGAAGCAAATGCTATCAATTTCAATTAAAAACATAAAAAGTTAACCTCAATGGAGTTAGCCCACAGCAACCCACCCAAACCAACTTGGCTCTATGAATATCTATTTTATAACTTAACCCTCTATTACGCAATTTTAGTTTTTTATGGAAAAAAATTTTTTGATGGCATACTTCATAGTTATTGGACTTAAATAAACATAATATGCAAGAAAAATAATTTTTTAAAATGAAATAATGATTTTATTGGTATGTTGCCATATGGCAACAGTGCGTCTTAAAGGTCAGAAAAGTAAAACTGAACAAGAAAAGGAAACGATAACAATAATATTTGTAAAAGGTGAATATTTAATCGTTTACACAAACAATGGTTCTCAGTACTTAGTTTACAAGCATATCTTCATATTATGCTTTTATATCATGAAAAAGATCATTATAAAAATCATATTTTATAAGCATTTTTTACACAAAAATATAGAAAATCATGTAATCAATATATAGAGCATATAGAGGGACAGTAAATATTTATATACATATGTGAAATGCAGGTTTAATGCTGGTGGAACTGTTTGAAGCAATGTCAACTTTACATTATGCACATTTTATTCTTGAAAATTCTTTTCAACCTGGTCTCTTGCATCTTCCTTTGTTTTCAAGTGGCTCAGGAAAGTGCCAAATATAATCAGCTCTTACTGGTAAGGGTGGAAAAGCTGCAATAGGACCACTCAAATTTTTAGCTGTAAGTTGAGGCTCTATATCCAATAAAGGACTGCCAAGTTTCCTAAACCCTGCTTTACCTTCTTTCATTAGGCATATGGCCATCTTGGTGTTGAAATCAAGTACACCGAGGATATTTTTTGTCGCGATTCGCATTAGTACAATCAGCCTATAGATCAGCCATGCCAGCACAACTGCCATACTGGTATCCAGAAAGTGGAATATTATACAGTGATACTATTTTTTGGACCTTACTGGTATCCTGTATACGGCCAACAGTGAAGCGAGAAGATCCACACCACCCATGAATTTATTGTAAACCATGATTACCGATGGACAAGTTACCTAGATTTCCCTTTTAGCCTTTTGTCCCATCTTTTGACCCGTTTCATGGGCTCAATAGCAGCAAATGTACTGAGTGTGGTTACCGCTCTATTGTCAACCCATTTGACTGGAAACAGATCAACACCGTCATGGTGGCAGGTTTTCAGAATTGCGGAGCCCCTTCCATTTCTTGCCAAGTCCTTATCTGAAGGCATTATGCAATTTTTAAGCCTATTAGACCTTACAGTGCCAATAGCTGCATGTCAGCTTCATCTCTGTGGTGTCAAAGCAAATTTCTTGCAAATAGTTTTGCCCGTGGTTGGATTGCAGTGTCTAAAGAATTACCAGGTGTGTCGTTAGTTTCACAGTCTGAGTCTGATATGGTTGAAGCTGAAAAGGGAAATTTTAAATATTATTTTTCAGTGTTTACTTTAACTTTTGGCTTGAATGTTATATAATTGTTTTTTTTTTAAATATTAGAGATTAAATGCAATTTAAAAAAGTATATGAAAACATACTTGTTGTGTTCTTGAGTCAAAGTTTCATCTATGTCATCATCGCGTGAAGATAGCTCGGAGTCCTCAGGAATAGAAGGAATATCCACATTTTTATTTTTTCCATAAAAGCATGATGGTTCCATGACTGCTTTGATGTTTGGATATTTGAATTCTAGAAGAAAAAAACATTATAGGAAACTAATAATTCCACACAAAAAATAACTTACAATATAGACTTATATCTTGTATAGTATCTATTCATTTTTTTTTTATAAAAAGAATTGTAACATTAATTTAAAACCTGTTAATTTGATCAAAATATAAAAGGATAACATTAATATTAGATATGTATAGATATTTCATTAAAAAAAATATTATTCAGATAGCTTATAATAAATAAACTGATTATATATTGTATGTTGCCATTTGGCAACAAAAAAATAAACACAAAAAATTAACCACATCGACGCACTGTTGCCAATGGGAGTCGCTTAGTCAATTATTTTGTCACGTGATATGAGTAAAAACGAGTAAGATTTCCGGTAGGCTGTATACAACACACTAGTGCTTGACAACAGTAGCCCGTTACACACTACAACTACACTACATTTCGTCCAATGAAAATTAACAATAAAATAAACAAAGGGGAATGACTCCTGCATCAATATTGAATAAAAACGCAAATGACGTCATGAGCACGCACGGAGCTCAACAACATCCTGCCGATAATAGTATNATTTCATTTAAAAAACGCATGTATTCCAGAATATTTCGAAAGGTAAAATTTTTAAGTAACATGACATTGGGGAAGCACTGATGAAGTATCTTTTGTTGTGTGTAGCAGCCTAGTGATGGCTTACTCACATCACGTGACCAAACAAGGAAGTGACTAAGCGACTCCCATTGGCAACATACCATTTTTTTCGTATGTCATCCACCTATGATGACAAATATCAAACATAAGCTCATTTAATATCAGTTCAAACATTAAATTTAACATTCTTTATTTTTTATAACAGGAATTATCATTATGTGATATAAAAAAACAGCTTGTACTTACTGGATTCGGCGGAAAAAATTGTAGTCAACTGTGACCGTCTAAAATGTGTTCTTACATAAAAACTGCAAAGCGAAAGTGAAGAGTTCTTCAGGATAAAAGTTTGAAACCTCATAATTGAAAAGGGGAACCACTCCAACAAATTAAAAATTGGGCTTGCAGTACTAGCAGTAGTGTAATTTCGCTTTGTTGCCAAATGGCAACATTGCGTAATAGAGGGTTAAATGTGAATGAGGAAATTCCTCACATGGTTCTGTGGCTAGCAGCTTTGTTCTTTTGAATTTCAATTTGAAGTTCTAACTACAAACTACAAGTAGGAATCGATAAGTAAAAAATCTGTCACATATCTAAAGATGAAAATTTAGTCAAATTCAAGCTTTTTAAGACTATTGGGAAATTGACTTTAAAGTAAGTTGTTAAGTACGGTACTGTTAAAAAATGATTTCGGAAAAATTTAATGTTGTTTAAGATTTGGCTCAATTGTTGAACAATGCATAGCAAAGGACTGAAAATCAGTATACCGTTTCAAAGAAAAACGATACTATACCAAAACTAGTAAGAAGTTTACATAAAAAAAAACAATATACAGAAATAAAAACTATATTTATTAACTTACAGCAAGTGAAAAATAATAAAACTAGTTTTAATTCACACACACACACAGTGAAAAATCTAAAAAGTCTTGGTAAGTTTGTAAATGTCTTTGTACGAGGAAATCAAACCAATCTCGTCCAGCTGGGAAAGGTACAGAGTTATTTATAGAGAGGTAGTTAGAATCATCTAGAAAATAAATTCTAGAAATTGCATCACACGAGCTTATTCTATACCTTTCATTTAAACAAATTTAAATGTAAACCAAATTTTCTCAATCAAGGGAGGGGTGGGTAGTGGTAGAGCTCCTCACATTTAGTTGGTGATGTCAATATCAAATGAAAAAAGGGGAGATAAGCGGTGGGCAACAAGTGATAAAACTAATTAGTTTGTTAGAACTTAATTCAAGGATACAATCTCCAAGTGTTACATGGTCTTTAAAAATTGTGTACCTGAAAAATATG